AAGGCAAGTATTATGACACCTTTCCCTTCCAGCTATTTCCATCACTGTATTTGCTTTACTGCGTCTTTGTTCAAGTTGTATTTTACTTGATCTTCACACTACGGCTGTATCCCACACTATGAACATGTGGCAGTAACGTCAGCACACAGTACTACTCCAGCTTCTGTGGAATGATCCCTGCCTCAGCTCTTTCCCATTCAAACCTCATTATGTTCCACACCAGTAAAACTATTCTGCTTAACAAACAGAGGTAAGGAGTGAAGTGCCACCTACCTGGCAACAGCACAACAGTGTCCTCCTCTAAAGGACTCCAACCCATGTTGAAAAGCATAAGTGAGAAAATGGCAGTTTGGGAGTATTATTTATAACATTCTCCTATTATCAAGGTAAGAGAAGAATGTTAGGGCTCACCAACAGTCAAGAAAGCAGTTCAGGATCGTGGTTAGGTCTAACAATCGTGTTTGGGTTTATAACCAGATGGACTAAGTTATGGGAATTCAGGAAATTCTACATTCTGCATAAGGTCAGGATGTTCAAAATAATTATGTGATATGAGTGAATGAGATTTGTATCCTAAGTCAAATACACATTTTAATATATCACTGCCTATATGGGTTACACATGCCTACATATGCTGTCTGTGCTTGCAAGCATTGTGTATCGTATTATTCACAGTGTTATTTGTCACAGAAGGCCCCACTGCATTTTTTAAATCAAAGCAATCAGTATATCTACAATTAAGTGTGAAATTACCCGGGGGTGAAATGTAGGAGTTATTTAACAACATACAGCTACCTTACACAAAAGTATATGACAGTGGATGAAGAATTACAAATGCAGTTGAAAATGTAGGAGGAATTTGTAATGTAATTATCAAAACTTAAATCTGATCTCTCTTGGCAAAGTGAACAGGGAACTGTGAAGGAAGAAAATGTGAATATGAGTAGTAGCACATTATTCTGTAGAACTGTTTTGGTGTATTTATTTCTTGGAGATTGTGAAGCATGAATGCCTGCTTACTGATACTATAACTAAGGCATCACAGTGTAGATTACCTTATGAAGCATCCAACAATAATAGCACGAAGGAGCACCATCACTGTCAAGTCTCCAATACATATTTTCCACTAGCAATGCTGATATTCGTGTGCCTGACAGGTCAGAAATTTAAGTATCTGCCCATTTCTGATTTCAGCACATTTTAAAAGTCTTGGGAGTATTTAATCATAGTGATTGACTTAATGGTCCTTGCCAAGTCACTTTCATCCTTGACTGGTACCCAAACGATCAATAAGCTTGACCATGCCAAAAGAGAGGAACAAGAGAGAAAGAAGGAGAGAGGTGAAAGACAAAAAAGAGGGCAAGAAAGAGAAAGAATGAGGGAGAGAAAGAAAAACACAAATGGAGGAAAAAAAACAGTGAGAGAGCAGAAGAAAGAGAGAAAGAAGGGAAGAGGAGGGGAAGACAGAAAGAAGGGAGGGAAGGAAGGAGAGAAAGAGAAAGGAAGGGGGGGAAGGAAAAATAAGAGGGAGGACGAGGAGGAGACTGTATGATATGAAACATACAGCATAATCTACAGCTTGAACCCAGAATCACTCAAAGGGTTATGGGATACTAGTATTTAACAACAAAATAACCACAATAAAAATGCAACATCAAAATGTTTGAGGGTTGGGGTGAGGGGTGTTCTATAAAGAAATTAAAATCAATCCCTAGCATTAATAATATCAAATGGGGCTAAAATTTGCCTTAGTAGGAGAATTACTGTTTTTAAAATGCATCTAAATTACTTGTAAACCTAAGGGTCTTTGAAAATTAGCAGGAATTCAGCCACAAAAATTCCTTGGACATCCCATTTTTAACTGTAAGCATTTCTTAGTTCACGTTTAACTTCCAATGAGCCAAAAATTCATTTTCAGAATTAATACAGATAACTCATAGTGTAAATCTTACTATCCAGTAAGACATTCATCAAACAGACATGACTTCCAACAGCATCAAAGTAAGCCTATTAAATAAGCTGCGTATTGAAGTACTGAGCAATGCAATGCATGAATTAGAAACAATAAATCTAGGTCTTCAATATCTATTTCTTATCCTCTGTAACTGGTAATTTACCCCAAAGAGATCTGAGTTCCAGAGCTAGAAAGTGTTCTTGGGGGAATAAGGGCAGAACTTTATTCCAAGAACATAAAAAAAGCTGAATACTAGAAGTGAGACCATTTGCGCCATTCTGAAAGCACAAGTCTCCCTTCAGTTTAGAATCACTCTTGAAAAATGGATTCCAGTCACATGCATACATACATGTATAAATGAAAATACACATATATAGTAAAGAGAGATACATTGGAATTCTTTTAACAAATACAGTAGGCAGGTTTTGAACAGAGCAATCTTCACCCATCCCACATTACCTAAAACAGGGACCACTGAAATTTTGTCAAAAAGTTAATCCCAGGGTGGCACTGTCCTTAATGCCAGCACAGGGCTCGTATCATCTGTGAGATCACATTCCTGAGCCGCTGCAGAGGAAGTGAACAAGCCCACCAAGTTTCAATTACAACAATCACTCTCCAAGACTTCTGTGTCTACAAGAGAGGGCTGTAGACAGTACACAAGGCCATGAAATATATCTTTACTTCTCCCTGGTAGACAAACCTGTATGGATCCGATGGGGCCGGTTAGTGTCAGTGCTTGCAGCTGAAGATATCCTTTCCTCATGCCAGCAACACGCAGTCTTACAGCTACAGAGACGAGTTCAGCCAGCCACACGCAGGGCCATACTCTGCCAAATGCTGTTGGCCTCACTAAAACAGGGCACAGCTGTAAGTAAAGTGGAAGGCAGGCACGTACTGCTCACCCCTACACCCACACGGGAGCAGAGTCATAGCCATGCAGACGTCCTCTTTCACATTGTGCTTTGGGAGTAAAGGATGAATCATTACCTTTCCAGGTTCCTTCAACACTATTTCCTATGACATTGTGGTACTACTGTATATACATATAATTTATATACACATGGCTGTGTGTTCCTACAAATTCCCACACGCACCTACACATATATAGAAAACCTCACATTACATCCGTGCCCCTGCTGAAAACAGTTTCTAGCCAGGACACACCTCTCCACAAAAGCACTCCGTGCACACACAAAAACTGCACGCGCTGTTCAACATATGGAAATGCAAAACCCTGCGCAGGCACACACACAAAGATCCAGGCGCTGTGACTGCCTGCCTGCCAAAATTTCCCAGCTCACACACTCTGCTTCATGGGAACTTCACTCCCAATCGTGCCCATGCACTCACATGCGTGCACAAGTGCACGTGTGTGCCACATGCACGTCCACACAAAAGTACAGACACAAACATTTGTGTGAGACAAAAGCACTCGCAGAGGCACACACATGCTGACGTGTGTGAAGACACATGCACATGCGCATGCACACACAAAACAGGTACACACAGAGGCACAGAAACAGCTCCATGCACACTCAGGCACACGCACACACACACATAAGCCATGTGCATGCACACACACATGCACTCACATGGTAAGACTCACACGAGCACGTGGGTGCACACACACAGACACCTGTGCTCACACACACACGCACGCAGGTGCACGCACAGAAACGTGTGTGCACACTCACACGCGCACCCACGCACAATACAGCAGCACGTGCACGCACACCATCACACCAACGCGTGCACGCGCAAACGCTCCCAGGCGCCAACACGCGCGCGCCCCAACGCACGCCCCCACAGAAACCGCACCGCGCGAACGCCAGCAGGCCCGCACAGTCGCACCGGCATCACAGGGACAGTTACATGCACATGCACGCACACGCACGCACGCGCGCGCGCACACCCCCTCAGGGATAAAAACGCACCCCCCGCCCCCACACACCTCGAACAAACGCCTCCGCGGGCCTGCTCACACGGACACCCCCCGCACGCCCCCCGCACCGCACCACAGAGCGCGGCTTGCCGGCCTCCTCGGAGAAGGGAACCGCCGCCC